AGGCCTGTTTGCCGACGTCTTTCAGCAGAACAATGTCATGCGTTTTCAGTGGGTATAAATATCAGCTAAACTGCATCCAATATTTCTTATTTTATCATAAATATACAAAATCACTCTAATATAAAACGTTTTATCAATGTCAGTGAAAATTAATCAAAATTGACAGCGAGAAAAGCTCTCGGAAATCAACTACGAGTCAGTCACCTTGATCACGTTCAAAACGACTGCCGTACGACCAGGCAACCGATGACGTCATTGGTTCGCGCGGAGGTCATGCACAAAGCGGTGACGTTTCCATTCTCGTATGCGCATCTTAATGTCTCCATAATACTGACAAAATGGTCACTATCCAACAAAATACAACCATCATTTTCACAAAAAATTAGCTAGTGACCCCCAACTTTTTTTAAATCAATATTTATATATTGCCTAGAAGTACAATATATTAAAAAAAATGGATAAACTCTGGGTATTTGAATTCATGAGCAGGCTTCTATCTTAAAATAGTGACAGTTAGTTAGTACATAGCAAACTAAATTATATCGACTGTATCCTTATATTTCAGTAAACGTTGCAACTGATAAAATTGTTATCGATGAATTGTCTGAAGTGAAAATAGGTGATCCAGGGGTAACTGACCTAGTAAATATACCCGATATGGTGGAAGTGACCGCTTGCATTTGGATGAAAACGAGTGCAGAGAACCAAGGAACGCCAGTATCTTATGCTGTCGATGGACAAAGCAATGAATTCACCATTTACCGTGCATACAATTTGGTAGTGTATGTGAAAGGAGAACATGGTGGTGCAACTAATCATGTAGTAAATGATGGCGAGTGGCATCACGTGTGTGTCACGTGGCAATCAGTCGGAGGCGAACGAAAGTTGTACGGTAACAGCGAGTTAGTTAGTTCTGTTGATCAGATAAGTGCTGGCGAAACTATCGAAGGAAATGGATCACTGCGTCTTGGCCAAGAACAAGATTCGGTAGGCGGTGGATATGAGCCATTTCAAGCACTAATCGGAGAAGTCACGATGTTTAATATGTGGAGCAGAGTACTTGATGAAACTGAAATACAACAAGTTTACGCGGACAGTTTGGGATATATGGAAGGAAGTGTGTTTTCCTGGAAGTCTGACTCCATATACATCGATGGGAGCGCTGTGTTGTCCCCTATTGATATCTGTAAGTACATCATGAATGTCAACAAATTTACAGTGCATTTTTCTGTAACAGTACTTGCACGCGTGTAAATCATATACATGCGTAAAGTAGCAGTTATATGTTCATTTCAGAAACGTACATGCTCTACATTTCCCATGACGCACTGGTGCAATCCCTGGGAATGTGGAGCCGCGCTTTAAACTGTAATCTATACTGTCTACCGAGCATGTACATTAAAGCGGGAGCGTCGTCACCTGCGCATACGCGGGAGTTTAGTGTGTGTTGTTATCGTCACTTGTGACTCAATTCCCGCGTGCGCGCAGGTGATGACCCTCCCGCTTTAAATGAAAAATGTATTTAAAATTTTATTTAAACAATCTGAGTTGTGTCATAATTCCAAATGGGGACCATTTAAAACATCTGAAATCCAAGACACATTTTCAACTAATTATTATATAATTGAAACTTCATTCAGTAATAGAATTTTTATTTCTCATTTCAGTTCCATGTAAGCGTTATACCATCTATACAGAGGAAGTTTCCTGGCAAAACGCTGTATCAAGCTGCTATAACACATATGGCAGACTTGCTATGATGAATACTCAATCTATTTACAAAATGATGCGTCGATTTATCTTAAACAATGATGTCGATGAACATGTACGCCGTGGATTCTGGTTTGGACTTTCCAGAATTGAGAACGGAGCTTTTGTCTGGTCTGATGGAACGCCGCTCGTGCCAGGAGATTTCACAAGATGGGCCAACAACCAACCGAATAATAGCACTCAAAAAGATCCCAATGGTCAACAATGTGCTCAGCTATGGTGAGACAATCATTTTAATCATTGAACTACAACTCGAAATTCATTTGTACCATAGACTCCCACTTTTGTTAATAATAGTTTGTATTACTGTGATGAGGAAAGCACGTGACTAATGACGTAGTGAACGTACTGCTCATCAAATGAGGAAACACCATATTTCCCATGACCACACTTAAACTAATGATAGTCTCAAAGACGAAAAACACTGAAGAAAACGCAATACGAATAAAAAAAATGCATGTTTCAAAAGTTATTTGCAAAATTCCATTGTTTTCTGCTACATTTATTTGCATATTTTATTTGTGTTTCATCAGGAAATCTGCACTTCTAAAATGGGACGATGACTATTGTGGACTGAATTCTAGCGGGGCATTGAAGGGATATATATGTGAATATGGTAAGTGTCCGCTATATTTGTAGTCGACACATGGATTCTCAACAATGCAATAAAATACTTACAAATCATGGACCATGTGAGACAATTTAATATTAAATTATTCAACAGGTTATCAATGTTAATTTAAATGATCACCAAAATGATGTAGTAAACAATAAGTTCATATGAAATTATATTTTGTTTAACAATTGTATATACCATACTGTTTGGAAATCAAA